ACCATTTGGTCCTCGGTTCCTCTCTTGACTTAATCCTGCAGCATGTAGCGCAGCGGTTCTAACTCAACCTTCCTAATGCCGCGACCCTTTAATAAAGTTCCCTCATGTGGCGACCCCCAAACAATTATTTCGTGTCGTGACCGGCAGGTTGAGTACAGAACCGCTGGTGTAGCGGATGTCGACACGTGTTCTGTGTTTGTTTCTTATTCTTCTTTGGCTTCCTGTTTAGTGCTTTTGTCTGGGCTCAGCCCTTGTAACTTGCTGTTCTTGCAGCTGGTCATGGTGGCAGATTCAGTCATTACTTAGTTTTTCGCAGTGCATTTAGCCTTTCAGCCTGGTCTATGGCTGGCCCAGCCTTCACAGGCAGCCTCAGCTGCAAGACTGTCAGATGGCTCACTTCCTTGCACGAACAAAGAAATTGATATGTCAGCCCCGACTGCCTCAGAGACACCATCCACTGTCTTCGGTCCCAACCCTTCTTTGTCTTCGGACCCAACCCTTCTTTGTCTTCGTAAGCATACTCATTGAGTCACGGAGGAAGTCTGTGTCTGTAGCCATGTTACTGCTTTCTTTTCTTCCATTTGACAGGGTCAGTTTGGAAGCCAAGATCAGTTTTACATTTTTACTTCGGTGTGCTTTTTTTACTTCTTAAAATTTCGTAAGCTGTGAGTTGCTGATAGTATCGAATTTCTCTCATCATATACATGTGTGTTTGTTTTGATGACAAAAGTAAATTGTAACCGTGGCACATAATTTTAGGTCAATAAATTATGTAAATATGTTTATCTTTGTTCTAGTCTATTTGTTAGCGTTTTACCAGTTATGGTTTTTCTTCTCCTGAACTTTGGTGTTGGTCAAGTTTTCATGCACATCCGTTTTACAGATCTGGCTTAATTTGTATGCTGGCTGTTTGGTTCCTTGCCTCGTACGTAGACCCACTTAGATTTGAAAGGAAACACCCATAAGTCATTGCATAAGACATACTTGTTCCTTGGGCCGTGAAAAGACTGTGTGATTGCTTCACGTATGGGTAACCATGGTGGTGTAGATGCCACACATTCACCTCCAGCCCGAAGGTTTTGGGTTTACACATCGCGTCAGATTTATTTTCAAAATTACCTTGCATCCCAGCCTAGAATGGGTACTGGGTAAAATCATGGAAAGTAAAGGTGGTCGGCACAATGTTGACCACATAGTATCAGTTGGTCTACAGTAAATGCATTAGTATTATCGTATGCCCAATACGCCGCTGGCTTCAGAAGCCCCATTTACATGTTATTTATAATTCTGAGGTACCCGGTTCGAGTCCAGCAGTGTTCCCCTTGGCAACAGATCTTGTGCATTGATTTCCACTGGGGCATTTAGAGTCAACCATTCACAAAGCTGAACGTAAAACTTGTATAGTGAACAGCCAACAAATGCTGGTTGGAGAAAGAAATGCAACTAATTTCAAATCCGATATTGGGACAGCTAATTCATTTTGGCATATAGAAAGATATCAGTCAATGAAGGCAAATCCAACAGCAACAATTGTTGGCCAGATTATGGCAGCAGTGTCCAACATTAGCATCGCATCCCAAAAGCTGAGGTATTTCAACAATGTGTAACGTGGCAGTGGCCAGGAGAGGACGGTGGTGCAGTGCAGAGGACCGCCAAGGTGGATATAAGACACTGAAGATGCACTGGGTATGAAAACAAAAAAGGGCTGGAGAATTGGCTAAAGAAAGACTTTACATCAGGCTGTGATGTTCTGTACAGGACCTGCTGACTGATGGTGTCAAACATGGACCTGTGCCCAGACGAATGGTGAGAAAATCAAACAGATAAAAAGTATAATGATGTCTGTAGAAACAAATAAATTCCTTAAGCAAACTGATTTCCCACTTCAGAAGCACATTCATTTTTTAGTAAAGTTGTCAGAAGAAAGTGCTGGAGAACACTGAGCAACAGGAATGCTGTCGAGAAAGAGAGAAGATTTGGACAGATGGTATCTTGGTTTGGAAGAACATCTAGATCAGAAATAACTGACAGTACACACAGCAGAAGACAGAACAGGCATTACTGCCAACACTCCAGAGCATGAACTATAGGAATTGCCTGCCTGTTCTGACATGAAGTATACCACTGGTCTTCTTGTTCTTAGCATTCACCAAATGAAAACTTTGGAAGAAAGTTCTGGCTGTTCACCCACTTCTGGACCTTTGCTCCTGTTCCTGGACTTCAATGCACATCCGTTTTACAGATCTGGTTGTAAAAAAATGCTGATTACTGGCTGCTCACCTTCAGGCAGATTTCAAAGAATGAGTTGGGTTACTTTAAAAACCAACATCGCAGCACTCGGGGCATTTCCATAAGTGCTCCCCGCTGCATCACTCTCACCAGACTGTGATTCAGGTTGAGTAGGACAAATGCAATTACTCAATTGATATGCTTCTAAGGGAGCATATGGTCAACCCCCCCCCCCCCCCCCCCACCCCCCCTATTTTCCAAATGGGACCTAGAAACACACACAAAGATAATTCATACAACAAAGAACACACAAAAACATCATAAAAATATGGATCATTTGTATTGTCTGTACCAAATGTTTGTGACATCAACAATGATAAAATATTTCAGAAAATCGGCTCATGGACAGACTGCAAAAACAGGTCAGCGAGTATGAATAATGAAAACAAAGTCAATAACACACAATATCAGATTAATCTACGAATGGTCTGACAAAGACTAGATACAAACACCAAAATGATTACAGTATGTACTGAAAAAAAGATGTGGATATTTAAGACTAAATTACTTAAAGTAACAGATAAAGGTCTGGGCTGTTCAGCTTTCACACATGCTGAGCAACAATGATTAACTAGACGAAGCAACCAATTCATTTTTTTTCTATCTTCTCTTCCAAAAATGATCTAGTATCCACATCGTCAGGTCAATGTCCTCGTCTCGCTTAATCTATGTGGCCAAACCATACATGTCTTTGGGTTCCTTTTGCTCAGTTTACATCAACCTTGTCAGCTGTTACCAAGTTCTCGAGTTCAACCTTCTCATTTCAAGAGCATGTCTGAAAAACAGAGGCGGTCTGGGTCTAACCAGTTTACAGACAACTTTAACCTGTCTCAAGAAGGTCTGCTTTATTTGTATTTCTAATTTCCTATGAAATTCTTCTAAAAGACAACATGTTCCCCTGCCAGTAAATGAAGAATAAAATACCAAACCAGACATTGCTGCATGATTTTAAAAAAAAAATGCAGTGAGATCTTTAACAGCTAATCAGACAGGGTAAGAACATTTAAAACACATTATGAACTCCCACACCAGATTACAATCTGTCAATATCTGCAGCCAACAACAGAAACTTCAGAATTATGAATGTAAATATTTTCTTCTTCTTCAGCGATCTCTAGTCGTGTGCATATTCTTCTTTCTTGTTCACCAGCTGTAAACTCTGGCGGAATGTTCTGGTTGTTCATCCACTTCTGGACTGCAGTCCTGCTCCAGAACCTGACTGTTGCAGGTACATCCGTTTTACAGATCTGAATCATTTGTATGCAGACTGCTGGCTCCTTGCCTCTCAGGCAGATGCACTCCGGGTCTGAAGGAAGCCCCCAAATAGTCGATTCTTAGATATTGGGTAGCAGTGGGTCTATTCTTGTTTTCCCTGTAACAGGGCCCTGAAACCCACATGGACTATGCGCACAATCAACTCGTAGGCCATAAATTGGGATGTCATCTCAAAGTCTCAGGTTCACCAAAGCTCAGTTGTCAGGTCTACTGGGTGTGGCCACATGCTTCACATCTCCAACAAGAGAGCAGTCTTGCAAGACAGGTTCTGGAGTCTGTTCAGTGGGAAAACAGTGACAGAGAGCTGGTTGGCTCACACCTAATTTATCTGAGTGTTTGTTGAGTCTGCATCTGCAGGCAAATTCTGTGACCTGATCTTTTGAGGTGTCTGCGGAAATCTTTGTCATGGTTATAACCTGTGTCAGTTTTCCAGTCTATTTCTGATCTTCTCTTAAAAAGGATTTTGACTTCTGGAACAGATAGTGACTGCCAGATCTGTGGTTTACTGCTGCCTTTGTTGGCTGAAGCATCGACACTTGCATTGCCTTTGATGCAGGTGAATTTCTGCCTTTTGTTTCAACAGTAAATATTTTTAATCAACAACTGAAACTTCAGATTTTCGTAATCAAAGCTTTTTTTCTGATTCACAATTCAAGACATGTACATTAGAAGGGAAAGTGTGAACAAAAATGACTACAAAATCTATTTCTACAGTTAATATTATAAAGGCATCTGTGTACCCACATCTGCTGTCAGATCTCCATAACAACAAGAGTTTAAAAACTGCTATCATATACAGCTAGTTCTCACCAGAAACACAGAAAACAACAGATCAGAGATTTTTGCCTTATCATTATCAAGAGGCTCTTCAACTGGCTTGGACAAAAAAGCTTCTTCACATCTTGTAATCCTTATCATTATAAACTCTAATGCCAGTCCCTTTCCTTGATATGACCCAAAAACATTTTGCTGTCTTCCTTTATGTCTTTTAAAAAACATTTTCCAGTCCTGTTTCTATGGTCACCGCCAATTGTTTTGTGTGTGTCTGCAATAAAATGTCTTTTGTCTTAGCTATTTCAAAACATTTATTCTCTTTCATCTAGGTTATTTTCCCGCTACAATTCCTTTATTCCCAGTATAAGGTATATTTTACATTCCCACCATTAATCTAAAGTTGAATTTATTCAACATTTTCCACTAAAACTGTATTTTAATCATTAGTCTAAAATATTTTTTCAGCTACCTTCTACAAAATAGTAGCATTATCCCCGTCATTGAATATTACATACAAATTTACAGTTTGCAGAAAATCAAGTATCCAACACAAACACTCACATGCATGAACAGTCACACAATCGCATCATTCTGTATCAGAAACTGAAAACAAACACGTATGGTCGGTATTAAAAAAGAAAAAGAGCATTCAACAAGACAGTTTATGGTTGAGACACATATCCTCCTGTCTGCTGCTGGAATACGTCAATTGAATCACCATCCTCCATCTCCAACTGTGGAGAAAGATAAGTTATAGTTACCACAGTAAAACAACAAACTATTCTGCTAGCCTGCAGATTTCTCTTGGCTCTGACATCTTTGTCTCTACTCCTGTTCTGCCTTAGTTGCACCATGAGTCAGTTTTAGGAAGTACAGTACACTGGAAATAATCTTAATTGACACAAATAACGGAGAGGAAGCTGCAGTTTTATAATTACAGACACATGATGAGAATACCCCAGACTGATTAAAGGAGTAATGGAGATTTCTTGCATAAAACTGACTCATGGAGACAGCTGGTTGTCCACGTCAGAAGGAGACAATCTACATTCTTTGATCATGTCCTTAGACAGAGAAAACTGAAGTACACTGTGACAGTGGGAAGGTTGGAGGAGAAGATAAGACAGAGGGAGACCAAGAGAGAAGATGATCAACAGTTTGACAACTAGCCCAGAATCATTTTTATAACAAGTCCAGGATTTACAAAGATATGGTAGGGAAAAGTATAAATAACAGGTGAAAATGCTCCTGTTCAATGTTGATACCTCTGGATATCAACAGTTTTCACATCTTGAAGATAGTTCTGACAATCGACTTTTCATTTCTATTGAACTTTGCCACCATTTGTTATAATTAAATGTCCAAGAATGGAGAAACTTGCTCTGATACCTCTGCTCTGACAGTGCCTCCTCAACCTTCAACAATTTCCATTCTGACTAAGAGGTCATGAGTCAAGTCTATTATTCTAAAAACAAAGTCAGGCATCAGCACCCGGGATTATTTTTAACTATCACTGTCATCATTATCAAGTGCTATGCCAACTGGCATGGGCGATGGTGCCTCTTCACACTCTGCAACTGCGTGTATCAGTTCATGTGTTGACACCCCTCGATGCTATGACAACAGTCTCACGTTGTCTTTCTCTGTCTCTCTTTCCACAGATCTTTCCAGTGGTCACTACATGTTCCCGCTGAGCTTTTCTCATGACGTGACCAGAAAAAGATGCTTTTCTGATTTTTGTAATAAGCTGTCCTCGAGTCCTTGCCGCATTTTAAACACCAGAGTAACTCTTTGTAGCTGTCCAGAACAACCAATGTAGTTCCTTTATTGACTATTTTTATTATCTTTTTTTTGTGTGTGTAAGTTGCAAAGTTGGAAAAGGTGTACTGTGTTGTTCACTGCTTGCACTGATAATTATAAAGGTGTACTGTGTTGTTCACTGCTTGCACTGATAATTATAAAGGTGTACTGTGTTGTTCACTGCTTGCACCGATAATTATAAAGGTGTACTGTGTTGTTCACTGCTTGCACCGATAATTATAAAGGTGTACTGTGTTGTTCACTGCTTGCACCGATAATTATAAAGGTGTACTGTGTTGTTCACTGCTTGCACCGATAATTATAAAGGTGTACTGTGTTGTTCACTGCTTGCACCGATAATTATAAAGGTGTACTGTGTTGTTCACTGCTTGCACTGATAATTATAAAGGTGTACTGTGTTGTTCACTGCTTGCACCGATAATTATAAAGGTGTACTGTGTTGTTCACTGCTTGCACTGATAATTATAAAGGTGTACTGTGTTGTTCACTGCTTGCACCGATAATTATAAAGGTGTACTGTGTTGTTCACTGCTTGCACTGATAATTATAAAGGTGTACTGTGTTGTTCACTGCTTGCACCGATAATTATAAAGGTGTACTGTGTTGTTCACTGCTTGCACTGATAATTATAAAGGTGTACTGTGTTGTTCACTGCTTGCACCGATAATTATAAAGGTGTACTGTGTTGTTCACTGCTTGCACCGATAATTATAAAGGTGTACTGTGTTGTTCACTGCTTGCACCGATAATTATAAAGGTGTACTGTGTTGTTCACTGCTTGCACCGATAATTATAAAGGTGTACTGTGTTGTTCACTGCTTGCACCGATAATTATAAAGGTGTACTGTGTTGTTCACTGCTTGCACCGATAATTATAAAGGTGTACTGTCTTGTTCACTGCTTGCACCGATAATTATAAAGGTGTACTGTGTTGTTCACTGCTTGCACCGATAATTATAAAGGTGTACTGTGTTGTTCACTGCTTGCACCGATAATTATAAAGGTTTCTGTTGTTTTTTAAACAATAATATCTAAACCACTATCTGCACACAACTATCTATTTGCAGCACTAAGTTCCATAACTCCTTCACACTCATGACCATGTTATGCTTGATTATTCCAGTGTCTTTACTGTCAAAACTCAAAAAAGATTATCGTCAAAGATTATCCCTACAAAATGTGGATCTATATAAAAAGCAAAATATACCTTAAATGTATCAGAGAGTGCAAAAGAATCCCTTTACACAAGAGCCCACAAATATTACATACCATTGCTGGAGTATCTTCATCATTGATAGGATTTCCATCAAAACGGAATCGAACTACACCTGTTTGAATTCCCTGAAATTGACAAGTTAAGGGACAGTTAGGTCAAACTGCATTCAAGGCAGCACCAGCGAGTCAGTAAGTAAAGGACACTCTCCACCCCTCCCTCAGGCATAGCAGGTATATAGTGCTAGAAACATAACTGTTTACACCAACCGACTCTGTGCTATAAATGCCAGACAGGGACCGGCCTAGAAAAACACAAAATATGTGAGATGAGATCTTTCAGAAATGCAGCTGGGGAGCAAACAAGAGACAGTCACCAACGAAAAACTAAGAACTTTAAAAAATCAATGGTTTGGCCATCTGGTCAGAATGGAACAAAATCAGCCAGCAACTAGAAGAGCATATTGCATAATAGCAGGCTACAAGTCAAGAGGCTGAGCAAGAAAGAGATGGATGGAGGGAGTAAAAGAGACACTATACAAGCACAAAATGACATTAACTCAATACTATGCAACCAACTAAACTCCTCTCTGACGTTTACCTTATGCACAGGTATTCAGGGAGTAATCACAGTTCAAAATGGGTGGGAAATGATTGAAGATAATGTCATAACATAAGAGACTTGCAGATATAAGTTTATCAGATCAGGCTACTTGGTGTATCAATTCAATACAACAGGGGATTATTTTTAAATAAAACAATGTATTTTGTCTTTCCTGAAAAAAAAAAAAACAAAGCATAAAAGGTCAGGAAAACAAGGGTAATGAAGGGATTGAGGTCATCCAAAAGAGCCCTTAACATGAAAGCTGACGGAAAAGGCCAAAGGTGCAGGACTGGATTCCATCCATGACATTAAAGGACACAATGGAATGGAGGTATCCACTTTGAGCCCTATGTGCCACAACAGGACAATGATTATTTTATCCCCTGTTTTTTTTTTAAAGAAGTAAAGGCATGTGAAAAACCTTGGATAGAGCTGGTCTCATATTCTGTAAAACAATGTTCAATTTTCTTTATGCGGATATGTCACTTCTGTATATTTTCCTTTAGCAATCCATTCCATTTAATGCTTTTCCTTTAGCAATCCATTCCATTTAATGCTCCCCTCTGTTCTTGTTTACTGATTACTTTATTTAATTCAAAACACAGCGAAATGTTAAAAAATTTATACAAATAAATAATCTATTGGAATTTTTAAAATGAATTTCCTATGGGTTCATAACCCATTTTTAACATTCAAAGAGCAAAAGAGTTGCCCTTTCTTAACATTTACTAATGTGTTTCATCATAATGTCAAAACCTTTTGTCTTTCCAGGGGAAAATATTCTATTGTACAACACAGAGGTAGGGGAATCACAACCCACACATGGATGTCAATGTAACTAGAAAGACCAGAATGGTCCACAATAATTGCACAAGACTTCAGGACCACAGCTGCCATCACATATACTTGACATGTTTCTTCTGAAACACACAACTCTCCAAGTGGCTATAAGACTTTTCTCCTCTGTCTCTATTTCCTTCTTAAATTACCCCCTCCACATAATGGGCATCAAAAATATAATAAATGTACAAATGAATTAAAAACAAAACAACTTACAGCTCTATTGCAGTATGCACCCATCAACTTCCGTAAAGGTGTGTTTTTCTTGATTTTAAAATGCACCACACTGCCATCTTGACCCGTCACTTTCAGGTTTATGTGTTCACTTTCCTTGTGGTCCTCCTGAAAGAAAACAAATTGCAAAGCTATAACAACTGTTCTGTGTGAATGAAACAAGACCACTTAATCACGTGCCATCGTCACAATGAAGGATGGCTGGTATGGACTTCCAACCTGTATCTCAACACTGATGTCTAAAATGCTTGTGTCATCTCCACACTGAAGGTTCCCAACAGTGTGAGGCCCCAAACTATTTCATAGTGCCACTCAGTACTACTGCATAAATGCCACAAGAATGTTGTTTTGTTTGTTTTAAACAGACCGTCAACTGTAGACATGGGACCCTAATACTCAAAGATCATACAACTGTTAACCATGACTCCTGCTGAAGCATACGTATGCAGACTTTCACGTGAAGATAGTAGACACTGTTATAACACAACCATCACTCAACCAGGTTGTACACGGCAGACAGCTGTTTGTCAATCTTCTGATGTTATCGTCCACCTCAACTGCACTGCTGTCAACCTGTGTCTTTTTTTTCTCTCCAGAATCTTCTAAAGTGAGTCATAGACTCTTAATATAATACTGGAGAAAGCAATCACAGCTTTTGAACTGAAATGATGCAGATAAATTCTTAGAATACCATGGACCAATGAATGAAGACATTGACACCCTACATAATCTGAGCAGCAAGAGGTAGTTTAGCCATGATAAACATCAGGGTGACCAGGAGAGGACAGTGTTGGAGGGCAGTTTCAGCAAATTAAGTAGACCTCATTAAAGTTGAATATAAGACATTAAAGACACACTGGCTATGAAAGCATACAGAACTGGCTAAAGAAAGACATTCAGGTTTGCTGTGAGGAAAGCAACTTTCTGTAAATGACCTGCTAATTGATAATGATAGTTTTTAAACTGATATAACATCTTTTCATTTTGCCACAACACTTCACTTTACTGTTCACAGTTGATGCAAACTCTGATTAAAATTAAATCAGCATGTGTCGGTTTTCTTCATTCAAAGTCTCAAAGGTTCCTTGCTGCAGATTTCCCCACTCAATGACTTGGCCTTTTTCCCCCAGTTGTTGACTCCAAGTGTTTTGTAATTTTGCCTGGATAGTATCTCTCTTTTCATGATCTATGACCATTCAACTCCCTTGTAGACACTTCTGGCCTTTATATGTTCTCACCATTTCAGTCTATAAGCCATCATAATGCCAGCGATCTTTATTTATTTTGTGTGTCTCACCAATACTAGGTTGTAGCCCAGTTTCGTGGTTTTTCTGTATTTGTCTTACGCTTTTTAGGTGGCCTAAGTGATGGAATTGATACTTTTGAAGGTTTCAGATAGACCATTTATTCCCTTCTTCCCAGATATTCTACTGTAAAAAGTCTCATTTGCAGTCTGGTCTGACTGCATTTTCACTAAATAGCTAAACTATTTCATTTTCTGTCGATATAATCCAGTCTTTTTCTAACTTTCTCTTTCTCGGGGTATTTGTAACCATGTCCTGTCTAGTGTTGTTAGTGACCTTATAGAGCCAGCAAATTTCACATGTAGTTTTTTTTCCGGCTATCCCCTGAATAACAGTCCCAAATTATTGGCGCCTAAAATATACCATAACAGGGCTCCAGTCACATGTCAATTGCAGACTTCCAGGGACTATACCGCCACCGCCGAAAGTATCTCCCATGTCGCTACATGCTGCGTGGATTGGGGCTAAACACAATAGCTGGGACTCACGATCAAATAAAATAAAGGAAGCTGCATGTGATGCGGTAGCTGCTGTTTGTGAGTCCCAGCCATCTAATTTAGCCCCAACCCACGCCGCACAGCGGCGTGGGAGAAACTCTCCTCGGCGGCGGAAGTCGCAGGAAGTCCACAATTGACATGTGACTGAGGCCCTGTTAGGGTATATTTCGGCCTCGATAATTTGGGACCATTATTCAGAGGATAGCTTTTTTTTAATTCTAGTGCTCTATTCATTATGCCAGTGATCAATAATGATAAAAACAGATAATTAATTTCATTGCAGCTTCTGTCTAATCCTAATTTTCGCATCTCTCATAAGTTAAAACATTTGCCAAAAGACTTGTTTAAAAAAACTTATAATGTAAGTCTTTGTGTCTTTTAGTTGTATTGGTTTCAGAGTCAAATATGACAATCGGTCTTATCAGCATTTTATATGCTGGGATCTTGGTGTTATGTGTCTCATATATTGTTATTAATTTGAAATTGTTTACCTGCTTGTGCATTTTACAAGGGGTAGGTGTGTGACTAAGTTATCACATTTTACAAATATTGGCTTCAGGGTCATGTTGCTCACTCATCCAGACAGAATGAGAAACTTTTAATTGTGGTTTTATTTTCAGCATGGCAACTAGTGTTCTAACCTACTTCTTTCTACATATGTATTTGTTTATTATACATTAAATTTTTTAGACAGCCTCAGTGGTTTCCCTATCTGTTTAATAAGTACAATACAGGAGACTGTGGTCTCGAGTATGGTGTCTGCCTCGAGAGATAGAGGTCCCAGGTTTAAACCCCAGTTAAGGTTGGTATTCTTTCACATGGATTTCTAGTAATTTGCCCCTGGTCTCTGGGTAGTGAGATTGGACGTTCTTGTGTATTGCTGCGCACGTAAAATCCCTTGGCAGTTGGAAATATGCTAGCAGTGTTGTCTGGGCAAAATACGAAGTTTAAAATCTACCCAAACTATTTCAGGATCCTCACCGGTGCAACAGAGATCGCGCATTGCGCTGATATTCTTCGGACTTGGGTTAGAAGAACGGAGCACTTATGGGTTACACATGTGTGTTTTGATATTGATCCGTTGAATAAAACATATGAACAATACATTCGTTATATGCTAGAAATAGACGGTATATTATGAAATTGTTTTTTGACATATGCTGGGTTATGTGAATTTCTTCAACTTATAGTACTATTTCAAAGGTTTCATTAAATTGAGAGAAGACGCTCTGACTGTCAGTGTAACTATCAAGAATGGGCCTTCTATGAAAAGGAAGGACATCACTGATTTCATACGAGACTAAACACTGAGTCTTTCGGTTTCATGGAAAATTATTTTTACTGAACAGACCATATACCCTGGGTGTACCAATAGGATCAGCGAGACAGGAAAGCCACACAGCAGTCACCCATCATCCCTTACAGAATGGGAGTTGTTAGCCTAAAAACACGGAGACATACCCAGGGGGAGATTGTAGCAGTTATGGCCATGTCCGATGATCTCTCAAATAAACAATAAGATCAATTAGTCTGTATCCCATAGGGGTGGGGTTAAGACAGACATGGGTAATGGTACCTTTTTTTTTTGATTATTTGATTTTTAGTTGGTTTTATACCTGTCCTGCAGCAAGGCGCTATCATAATCATCATTTAGCTGTGGCACGTCCTATTTCCTCCACGATAATTACAGCTTGCGATTTATATACTGTCAAGTGTGTCCTGTCTTTCTATAAATGCCAATAAGTATGTGTCTATTTGTTTACCACATGTACATAAAAAAAAAATACTATTTATACAGGCAACTAAAGCAACTAAGCATATTTCTTATCATGACTTTTCCCCTTTCCCCAGAAATCAAAACAAGTGTCCCTCAATGCTTTTATATAAAAGACAGTGAACAGCAGCACTGAAAAAAAAATGATTGCTAAAACTAAAACTACTAAAAATGTGGGTGTTGCTGGTACTGCCAGAAAAAAGCCCTGGATCATATCATATTAGTAAACTATTTTCCCTCTTCATGTGGATTCCCACTGTGTTATGTTGCCAACTGTTGCGGCAACAGTTGCCCCCAACAAACAAGCATGTAAGATCATTAAGATGGGTTTATTTATAAGTATTGAAGTTAGGTGTGTCAAGCTGTGAGGAGACACAACATAACTTTGCGTTCGTTCGAAAAGAAACAAAAGAAAAGCTTGGTCCTTTTTTAACCGCCTGATGGCCTGTTTTCTCAAGGACGGGTTATTTGCTATCTGAGCTTGAATTTCTTTCTGTTGTGGCGATGATTTTCACCTGAGTTTCCTGTTAGTTGTTGCATTATGTCAGCAGCGTGGGCTTGGCGGGCGGCTTGCAGGTTTTGGGAGTGGACATGGCAGTCCTGAAAAGGACAGCCATATGTGCCTGGGTGGCCTGGAACGGGATGGGTGGGAGTGGTCAATCTGGTTGGTTGGGCTTCGTCGCGTCAGTGAGGTCGGCTTGTTCCACGGGAACTGGGTGTCATGGCGGCTTGGTGGTTTCAATTGGCTGCTGGCTCTGTCAATGTTTGCGTTGACGTTTGTTTGGCGTGCTTTGCTTCCATCTTGCTTCCCTCAACTTTATATTGGCTGTTTCTATCACCTCGCAGAAGCCGCAGATTTTTTTGTAGAAGGCCTGCTTTTCCTCGTCGTGTAGCAATTGTACTTTATCAATCTCCTTTCTGTCAAATCCAATACAAAAGCGGTTCCTCTCCAGCTCGATCTTGTGCGGGTGTATCTGTTCGTAATAAATTTTGTAACTTCTTGAGGAGGTCGGCCTCGCTTCTGATCTCATCGGCTGCCGCCTCTTTGCTTTCTGTACAGGTTGTGGTTTCTTCTGCGGCTGGGGTCACCTCTGTAGCTTTGGATACGGTTACTTCATCAGGCTGGATAGTGCTTTCCTCATCGGTTGTCTGTGTATTTTTGTCGGCCTTGCTGACATTTCGTTGCCTGGCGGCTATCTCTAGTTCGCTCTGTAGGCTGGCGTGCTCTGTCCTGGATGTCATCTCTGCCGCTTCTGCTTCTGATTTCGCCTGAATCAGTCGGGTGACTTCTCTGTACGTTTCCTCTCTCGCCTCTTTCAGTCCTGCCATCTCTCTGCTTCTCTCCTCCCTCTCTTTTTGTCTGCGCTTCTCATCTGCTGCCTGTGCCACTGCCAAGTTTGTAATCAGTGTCTTTATATTGTTGATCGTCTCTGCATCGTGCCTCTTGCTTTCGAGCTGTTGTGCTGTGTGGGCTTTTCTGTCCTCTTTCAAGGCTTTAATCTCCCCCAGCATCAGGGAGATTAACTCATGCGTTTCGGCTTTCTCAGCTGTGGCTATGGTTTTCTTCTGCTGCAATTCGGCTTTCAGTTCCGTGATCACACGCATGAGTTCGGCCTGGCTACTCGGCTGGTTGGTGCTAGTCGGGCTGGTTGGTCTGGGTGCCCGTTACTTTTTTGTCGAATCTGGGCGCACGGCACTGGGTGCCCCTCTCTTAATGCCTTTGAGGTATGGGCATCCCAGATACCTCGCGCTGTGAGCGCCTGTGCAATTTGAACAGCGTCTGTTGTTCGGCCTCCTGAAATCCTGGTCGATTTTTGCCAGGGGGCACGCCTTGAAATCGTGGGCCCCTGAGCAGTACCGGCAAATAGGGCTACTGCGACAGGCCGCTGCGGTGTGCCACGCCCTGTTGCAGCATGAGCACTGCGTGATGTCTGTGGTGTGGGCTCCAGGCTACTGCTTTGGAGGGCGGGCGCTGGTAGGTCCCTGCGCCACGACTGGGGCGGTCCTAGGTGGTGGCTCCACGATAGGGGAGGCTTCAGGTGTTGGCTCCTCGAAAGGGGAAGCTTCTGGTGCTGGCATAGGCGAGCGAGGCGCCGCGATAGGGGCACCTGCCGGTGATGCGCTGGTATGGGCATCATCTTCCTTGGTGTGGGTGCGGCTGTTTGCTGCTTTTTTTCCCATAATGGTGTTTTTTACATCTCATCTCCACACAAAAACCTACATATCTCAGCTCAGAAATGACATACAAGCCTAAATGAGGTACCGTTGGAAAGAGATTGTTTACAGCTATCTAACTGTGCTGGTTTTATTGGTGTTGAGGGCTCTCCCTGCAGATCCGGACGAGGGTTGGATGCGTGCTGGACGACTTAGTTCAGTTGGAGTTCTCTCCCTTGGCCGCACTCGAAACAGCGAGCGGAAAAGTCACGAAACAAATGACATACCTATCATCATACGGTTGCGTGTAGGGTTGCGTAGTCATACGGTTGCTTGTAGGGTTGCGTAGTCATCATACGGTTGCCTGAGGGGTTGCGTAGTCCATCATGCTGTTGCGTGTAGGGCTGCGTAGGGTTTGGGTTAGGGGTAAGGTTAGGGTTAGGGGCTAGGTTTAGCGTTAGATGTGACAATTTTGACGACGCAGGAATTTCCAATAATCGCGCACTGTCACATACACACCCAAACAGTCGACGGACTGTGGATGCTACTGACACGGACACGTCACCACCGGCTGGGCACCAGCTGCGTGCTATTGCGGTCATATTTGACAGACTTCCAGTGGCGCCACTCTCACAAGCATCAGATTGTCGGCCAGTATTTGGAACTCCTACGTCAAAATTGTCACATCTAAGCCTACCCCTAACCCTACCCCCGAACCCACACCGTACGCAGCCGTATGATGATAGGTATAACCCTACTTGCAGCAGTATGATGACTACGCAACCCTAACAGCAACCGTACGCAACCTTACACGCAACCGTATGATGATAGGTAATTACCGTAATTATGTCATTTGTTTCGTGACTTTTCCGCTCACTGTTTCGAGTGTGGCCAAGGGAGAGAACTCCCACTCAACTGAACTAAGTCGTCCAACCCTCGTCCGGATCTGCAAGGAGAGCCAAAATTTGACTAAAGTACCTACAACAAAGACAACAACAAAAAACACCCTACAGTAGGCTACAGTAAAATATATGTGAAGTTAATTTATCAAATTGTACATACCCCAAAGAAGTTGTTTATTATATAATAATAAAATGTTAATAATTAATTATACTTTTTTAAATACAACAATCAATCATCAATGACAGTTTTTCTTTAAAAAGTTTAAAAACTGATCAACGCAGAGAGAGATTAAATATTAAATTGAAAATTAAAATAAGCTAAAAATTCAAAACTAAAGGACTGGTTAAAAACAAATTACCAGGTAATACTGAACAAGAAAGAGCTAAACCACTTATCTATACTGGAAGTGTACTTTAAATACAGAAAGACCATGATTCTACCTTCTTCTGATTCTGATCGTCCATGGTGGCAGGTAGAAATTTGGTGAGCCGACGAATCTACAGCGATAACCGGGAAAATGGCGTGCCAGGGGACGGAACCGGGGATTGATGTCTGCTGGTGGGTTAAAAACTGGAAATGTAATCACGAATTAATTACAAACTAGGACTATAATCACGAATTAATTACATTCAACATCATCATCATCAACATCGTCATGGAATACCGTGAAAACATGCCTCTCTGCACAGAACAGTACGGAAACTCAGAGGGCTAATAAAATGTCTAAAAAAGATGTCGGTACTCACCATAAAATTTATATTAGGGTAAAAAAAAAAAAAAACTTTTAAAGGTATCGGTCCTGCGTACCGTTGTCGGGGGGAAAAAAGAACACCATGCTTGTTTCTCTGTTAGACATGTCTGTGGTTGGTTGGCTACTAGCTTGTTACAATATAATACCATTGTCTGTACTCGTAACCTTGTTTAAAAGTGACAACGACTTTCTTTAAAGCATTTCTGTATTTCGGTATTTTAGCTGCTTTGTGTTTTCTGAGCAAATCGTTTATTTTGTCTTGAATGCTAGTCTTTTGCAAGTAAGGTTTTCTTTAGAATAGGGTAGCTCGTTTCACACAACCACTCCTTCGTGGCATTTTACGGTGTGTTTGAAATGTTACTTTATTACCATTCGTTACTTTGCTTATGAGACCAGACAAGACACTGGCGGTTTTTGCATCTTCACCACTTTCAAAGCGGATTGTTACTAAAGGTGACTGTCCACTGTGTGCCACTCAAATCTGGCAGAGCGGGAAAGGGTGAGAGAGAGAGAGAGAGAGAGAGGGGGGGGGGGGATTACTTCGTCACAAGAAAATGCTAAGAGTGAATGCATTAATTCAACGGGGCGCAAATATTACAGTTATTCTAGTCCCAATAATGCAGACCAAGGTTGTGTACATATATGGGCGAGTAAAAAATAAAGTCAACCAAAAAAATAATTTAATCTGACGTTTTTAAACATCCAGGGGATGGGCTATGGCTGCTATGTAATTTTGGTTTGTTGTTGGGTGTTCTAAATACATTTTCATTAAATGCTTTGTTAAAAAGGTTCGGGAAAAATAATATCAGCAGAAATCATGGTACCAGTAAGGAGAGGCAGAGGTAGACCACCAGAAATATGGCCATAGGATATAAATGACTTCTTGGATATGAAAGTACACGAGGCGGGAGAACTGGTGGGAAAATTGACGAGAGACCAAGTTTCTTTCAGACAGACCGTGATGTGAGCGACGTTCTGCAAAAGGCCCTGCTACATGATGATGACGATAAGTTAAAGAGACTCGCTTGCCCTGGTAGTCCTAAATGCTCATCAAAAAGGCTGGGTGTATGGTCTTAAGCCACGTCGGTGTGGAAAGCAAGGACAAACTACCACATTACTTTCACAAAACACTCTTCATGGAAGTATATTATTCTTCTTCTTTATTCGCCGGCTGTAAGTCTTGACTGTTCGTCCATTTGGACTTTGGCTTTGCGTAAGGGCCTGAGTTTTGAGTGTACTTCCGTCTTATTCGTGTGCAGTTCAACGTCCCTTGACGCTCAGGAAGATGCACTTTGACCTGGAAGGCAGCTCATAATTAGTTGACTTTTACAATTACGACATTCTTAAATGGTAGAAATCATCATCATCATGTAGCAGGTCCTTTGCAGAACGTCGCTCTCATCACAGTCTGCCTGAAAGAAACTCGGTCTCTCGCCAGTTCTCCCGCCTCATGAACTTTCACACTCAAGGAGTCACTTATATCCTGTGCCCATCTTCGTGTCGGTCGGCCCCTGCCCCTCCTTCCTGGTACCATGCCTTCTGCCATAATTTTTTACAATCCGTCGTGGCGCTTGATATGACCAAAATATTTTAGCTTTCGAGAAAGGATGCTGTTTAATAACCAATCTTCCTTGATGTTCAGATCTTTTAAGATGACAATAATTCTCAACTTTTTTTGTTCAAGATATTCTGAGAATCTTTCTATAGCATTTCAGCTCAAAAGTCCCTATTCTCTTTCTCAAGGACTGAGAGATAGTCCACGACTCACATCCGTATGTAGCCACAGGGAAGATAGTCCACGACTCACATCCGTATGTAGCCACAGGGAAGATAGTCCACGACTCACATCCGTATGTAGCCACAGGGAAGATGCATGCTCTCAACATTCTAATGTTTATCTTCTTGCTGGTGCTTAACCATAGATTTTTAAAATTGTTCAATCTTTGCCTTGCTGTGACCATCCTCCTTTTAATTTCTGCCGAACAGTCTCCATTGTTGTTTATTATAGAGCCTAGATATTCAGAGTTTGTGACATTTTCAATTTCTTCATAATTTATTATTGTTATTTTTGGGTGACTGCCAGTTTTATTTGTGGAAATTATTTTCTTTTTCTCTAAATTCAAGAACAGATTTTGATCTTTTGGTCAGACAATATTACATTTTCTATTCTCTTTACGCTGTTCGAAAGGAGGACTGTGTCATCTGCGTAGCGGAGTTCCGGAATAGGGTTGTCATCAATTTGGAGCGGATCATAACTGTCACAAGTCTGGTCATTTTTGACATTTCTCATTATTTTTTTCTGCGTATACATTGAGAGGTGAGAGAATGCACCCCTGCCTCACCCCATTTTGCACATTGAACCAATCAGATTTTTCACCAGCTGTTCTGATGGCTGCTTGTTGTTCATGATAAAGATTTTCAATTAAATGCACTAAATGCACTGGAAACCCCATACTTTTCATAATAGTCCACAGCTTGTGGTGTTGAAACTTGCTCCCCTAAATATAAGCGCGTCTGCTTTTGTTTTCCCCACAATGTGATCACGGAACCACAAAAGGAGGAAGTATATTAACACATCAAAACATAAAGGAAAATTGGCTCGTAAACAGCAGCGTGCTTCAGAAACTGAAACTCTTGGAACGTTTCAGACGCCACAGTGGACTAGAAAGAACAGTAGCGGAGGTAGGGCCATACTACCCATTAGGCACACTAAGCTCATGTTTAGAGCATCACAAATAGGCACACACATTTTCAGTAACCTTGTAGCTGGGCGTTTATTTTTTTCGGTTGGAGTATAATATAAAATTCCATCAGAGCATCACAGAAGGCTGGATCCCTTATCTCTATTCAGTGCAGAAACACATGTGTTTTATAAGATTAATCTGAGGCTCTGATTTGAAGGGAAAAAAACCGCATTTTTTTTTAAAGTAAGAAAAAACGTTTTTAATATAAATAAAGTGGAATTCTCACAAAATAGACATTATTTTCCCACTTACTGTAAGTTTTGCTTAATTTCGACACTGTTTTTTAAAAAATATATCTATTGTTTATATTGTAAATTACTTATAAAAGGGCACCAGTGCCATCTTAACACAGGCGCCCGTTGGGCACTTGGTTGGGGGCCCCATCAACTTTGGGGCTCCATTCTAATCTGTCTAATCTAATGTCAAGTAACCAATTAACTGTCATTCATGCGAGTGGTTGTCGTAGGGCCCCAGCACACTGGTTTGCTCAAGGTCCATAGTGCTGTTAACACGGTTCTGTGGGGTGGGGGGGGGGGTCTCTTTGAAGTGCATAAGGCATCAAAGAGTCTTAATTCGGCCCTGAGCTGAGGGAATATGCCAGGTATAAGGGGCAGGGAGGGACCAGCACAAAGATAGACACAGGACAGAGGAGCAAAGGGGCGGGAGCCCTTGAGCTGGCGAGGGGCCAAGTTTCTTTCAGGCCGACTATGGTGGGAGCCACGTTTTGTGAAAGATCTAATACACGATGATGGCTGTTAGTTAATTAATCCTGTATACAGACTGCTGGTTCTCGCATATCAGGCAGATGCACTCCGCCCTTGAAGGAAGCAACCTGGGTTCCTAGGCCCCATTGTGGGTGGGGAAGGGGGGAATAAAAGATCCACTGCCTCCCTAGCAAGCATGCTTTGAAATCAGAATACATCTGTCTTGAGCAGGAAATCTAGAGTCTGCATACAGACTTTTGACTTCCAGTCAAAATAGACGCTAGGCAGGGGCACTGTTTATAGCCGAGGCAATTTTTTTTGCTTCTGCCAGATGGTGGCCGATGCATTCTTGCACCATTTGTAGACTGGATGTAGCTTTTGAGATGAATGTATGGCGTGACACTGTGAGCTGTGGATTTCATTTGGAATGTTTTTTCGACTGTGACCAACGTGGTGGTGTAAACTGTAAATTCAGAAAATGGCGCGGATCCTGTCGTCGCAGTGTTGGTGGTGCCCGTATGTGATTAAAATTGATCGCGTGGGCAACTGCTGATCTGTTGGTGACTTCTGCTACCATCAATGATGAACTGCATTTCTAATGTCAGACTGTTTGTGTTAGCACATCGGATGGCTACCGCATGCTTTAATGATTGTGTATGCTAGATATGCTGAGACAGCAGTCTATCAATCTTTTAAAAAGGGACTATGATAAACATTTTGTATGTTTTTCGTTGGCACAGGAGCGGAGCAAAGATGGGGGTGACCCGTTTGCTATGAAGCTGAAAATAAGACTACCAGACGACCAGACTACAGATAAGCCAGATATGTCAAATGGGTGTGTACTCAACATTAGCTTTCTGGAACAAGACCTAAGTCCAAGGGTGAACAACACCCAACACTTTCCGATGGAGATTACAGCTGGTGAATCGGTGTTTTTTACGACATGCTTGTTATGAGCAATGGGTCTATCCCCCCTCCCCCTTCACACACACACACACGCACACACACAATCCATGGGGCCCCGCAAACACACGGAGATAATTCCAGGACAAGTTTTTAAGACTCCATGGCTAGCTTCTTTAGCGCATGAAAGACCTGGAACGTCATTGTCTACAATTGTAAGTAGGCTAAAGTATAGATAGATTATCTGAGGTCGTGCCACGGCTTTCTGCCGTGCTGTAACCTACACACTACAACGATGTCAGTGTACATCGGCAGGGCAATAAGTCACAGTTATTCTGACGTTGTTAAACCGTAGACATTTT